AAACCATTACGACCGAGTAGCCACCGGACGCGGGTGCGACAACACTCGCATTGTACGCGGTGGTCCAGTTGCTGGCGTCGGCGTTGAGAATATCTTGGGTCGCGTCCGCCCGTACATACACTTGAAGCGCATCGCGCGCGTCGACCGTCACCATGGGCGCGGTCGTGCTTGTCGGCTCCAAGCGAGCACCCGTGGCCACGTCAGTACAAGAGAGCGTCAGGTTACCGACGACGTCCCCGGACGACTCCCAGACGCAAGCGTGCACCGCCGTAAGAAGGATGGTTGCAGTGTAGAGAGCCGATGCGAAGAGCTTGACCATGGTAGTTGGAAAATTCAAAAATGAACAAGACATGGGCCGCTCCGACCGAGGTGGCGCCATCGACTGCAAAGGGTGTAGACGGTTGGCCGACGCGGGCTCGTAAAAATACCTCTCGACAGGTAGCTATTTGGAGACCAGCGGTAGGGCCGACGATGCAAGGTCGACATTTCTCGCCACCTTAAATAGAAAAGACCGGCTTGCAGTGGCGTGTGGGACGACCGGCGTTTGATACACCAAAATGTATCTCGTGTTTCACGGCCACGCACATGACCTGGGATTCACTCTACGACGTCCGCTCCACGATACGTCTTCTCCAAATACGGTGCCATCAACACTCGTACATAGTATTTCAGTATACCCGCAAGTAGAAATATATTCACCAAGGACCGACAACAACCTTCTTGTGCTCGCAACGAATGCAAGAAGTCGTGCTCTACATTGTTTAATCGTAAGAAATGCACTCCTCCACTATGCAATGACGATGCCGACGAGGCGCATATGTGCACCCTGCCGCCATCATCACGGTTGCGCTGCCAGCCGTGGAGAAGCGATCCAAAGTGCGACTCTCGCGACGCCTCGGGGTTCTACATCATGTGATAGAATGTCATCCAATTTCCCATCAAAATATGTACCTCAACAAAGCACACGATCACGGCCCCAGCCGCGCTCTCGATCCCACCAAGCGTCACCATGGCAACCGCAAGGCCGATGAAGAAAGCACCACAACGCCTATACAAACACATCACATCATCATCCACCGATATAAGCTTCGTACTCTGCATGACATATATATCGCTCGTTTCCGCGATGGCGGCACCGCAGCCCGCGCACACGACCCTGTCTGCGCTCAATGTCATGTTGAAGCGAGGTCGTATCGTACCGACGATAACCGACGTGAACTCGAGCGCCGACGCAAGGAGATTGTCGTTGAGGAGGACCGTAAACCCGCGCGTCTGAAAGAGCTGCAGCACGGTCCAAACCGACATGACAAACGATATGCCGTAGACTGCAACGTACACAAATGCCCAGTAGTTGAGGACCTCGACGAGCTCGGCGATGCAGCAGTAAAGGCACCGCGCAGCGCCGCCGTTGCTACCTGCAGCACCTAAAGCATCACTTGCAGCTCTCTTTCGAAAAGACGAGTACCTTGCGCAAGGTCTCAATGATGGCGACGACGAGCGAGGCAAGACAAATGGACTCGAGCGAGGTCGTGAGGCTCCGCGTGAGCGCGTCCTTGGCATACGTCCCATCGAACGTGCTCTGGAACGGATGTATGGTACCTCCGAGAACATTGCTGCACCACGTGGCTGCCGATGATGCGGTTTTTGAGAAAGAGCAGAACGAACGACCCGTCCGCAGACGGCGGTGTGCTGCACTCGATCTTGCCTCCGATCCTGTGCGTGGTCAGCCTGTCCATGGCCGCCCCGGGCGACACGGGCGGGCGGTGCATGCGCATCGATTCTGGTGGGTATCGCACACGACTGGTCTGGAGAGGCCGCCGTTGCAACGGTTTCGCTTCCGTCGCTGCCATGGTGCCAGAAATAGGTAGTACCCCGACCCCTATGCATTGCACGCCATTTTGCTTTGCCAATAGTTTCAGGTTTCGGATTGGATGTGTACTTGCTGCTTACTAGCAAAGATGGTTGCAAGCGACAAAAAAGTTGGCTGCAAGTGTTGTAGTACTTAGAGCATCGTCGGCCCTACCGCTGGTCTCCAAATAGCTACCTGTCGAGAGGTATTTTTACGAGCCCGCGTCGGCCAACCGTCTACACCCTTTGCAGTCGATGGCGCCACCTCGGTCGGAGCGGCCCATGTCTTGTTCATTTTTGAATTTTCCAACTACCATGGTCAAGCTCTTCGCATCGGCTCTCTACACTGCAACCATCCTTCTTACGGCGGTGCACGCTTGCGTCTGGGAGTCGTCCGGGGACGTCGTCGGTAACCTGACGCTCTCTTGTACTGACGTGGCCACGGGTGCTCGCTTGGAGCCGACAAGCACGACCGCGCCCATGGTGACGGTCGACGCGCGCGATGCGCTTCAAGTGTATGTACGGGCGGACGCGACCCAAGATATTCTCAACGCCGACGCCAGCAACTGGACCACCGCGTACAATGCGAGTGTTGTCGCACCCGCGTCCGGTGGCTACTCGGTCGTAATGGTTTGCGGCAAGCCTGACGGCGGCGCGTG